AAAAAAAAAAAAAAAAAAAAAGCATTCCCCAAATTCGTAGCTAGGAGCACAAACACACGAAGTAAAGACATTTCATAGTCTACCTTACGGCCAGATGCAGTCAAAGGTTGTGAACACATGACAAGTGTACAGAGCCCTCCCCTTTTCTGCTGAGTGGCAGATAAACATGGAAATGGCAAGACTTTACATATGATGGAACAAGATGACAGAAGGAACTAAGTAAGGTTCCCCAGACTGTTGAGCTGCCACATAGGCTTGCGCTATGTGAACCCTCACATCAGAAAGGAAGAACCTCCTGTTTATGCCAATGTTATGATCTCTCTCACACTACCTGAATCTTCACCGAAAAAAACCACTTAAGAGAAAAACTACACCTGGAAATGGTTTGTTTTCTTTTCTTTTTTAAAAAAGAATTATTTATTTAATTCCATTTGTTGTTATTACTCTTTAATTTGACCAGAGAGAGAGAGAGAGAGAGAGAAAGGGAATGTGAGAAAGCAAGCTGCCAGGTCCGGGACTCAAACCATGGTTGGTCATGTGGGAATTCAACGCCTTTAACCACCATGCCACCTGCTAGCTCCTAGAAATAGCTTAACAGGTGTTTCCTCTGACATATTATGGTATATCAAACAGTTTGTGGAAAAATTAAAATTAAAGTACAAATTTATTTTGGTGCAAAAAAATTGAAATCCATGCAGTTTTTTCATAATGCACATTTTTCATGAATTTCTGAAGACCCCTGTATTTTGAAGTTTCATTAAATTCTATGTAACTATGGTGTTTCTAACACAAAAAATGACTTATATTTTGTAGAATTACTTCGCAAGTTGTGGATATCTGATTTTTGACATATCAGCATATTCTCAGCTTTTACACTACATTATGCGTTGGGTAAGTACTTTGAACAGCAAAGACAAATAGTTTTCCTACATGCATACCCTATCTAACTAAAATAATGGTTAATATGTATTTACTACATATTCCTAGCATACATATTATAAATCTGAAGAAGATTAATGACATAAAACAAACATGCTAGCTTATCGAATAAGATCATCCTGGAGCTGTCATGGGGTGTGGTGGTGAAGGTGCTGGACTCCCTCCCACAGGGCTGTCTGTAACGCCAGACCTGGACCTGGAGGTTTGCTTTCGCATTTTCCCTTTCTCTCTCTCTGTGGCCAAATAAAATAATAACAATAATACATAAAATAAATCATTCTTTTTTAAAAAAAATGACCACTTAAAGAAAAAGTGTTTATTCCCTCAACCTGAATTTATTTATTTAATAATAAAAGCTTTACTTTGTTTCTATGTACACAGACACTGTGCATTGCAGGCTGGGACCACATAGAGGCCTAGATTTCATTATAAATCCAACCTACAGCCTGGCGCTGTTCTGTGCATCTCTAATCCCAGTGACTTGGGAGGCTGAAGCAGGAGGACCACTAGCTTGAGGCTGGCCTACGCCATGTAAATAACAAGACTTTGTCTTAAGGAATAAAGAGACAGGATACAGAAGTGTGTTTTTCTAGTCTCGGCTGGGAGACCAGAGGTAGGAAGATCTTGACAATAAGACCCTGTCTAAAAAAAAAAAGTCAGTGTTAGATGGCTTAAAATTATTTAACTTAGAGAGTTAAATTAAGTCTACCCACTGAAGTATTTATAAAAATCCTATACTCTTTCACATAAACTAGTGTTATGTACAATATGTATTATATGTGGAGTCTTGATTATTTCTTTTGAATTATATCCTAAACAAAGACAATTTTCATATGTCACAACAAATTTATTGTGCAAATGGTAAGAACACATACAAAAAAAGTTAACCATATCAGTAAGGATAAGTTAGAAATAGAAAGTACCATTTTCAGAGAGAAAGACTACATTTCATTTTTAATATATTACCATTTCATCCACTATCTATCACACCTTAGAAAGTTCTGGCTACACCTTCTTAAAACATTCATCCCATCACAAGAGAATTTAGAACATCAAGAACATTCTGATATAGCTAAATGTGTTATAGTACCACAGGATAAACAAAATACTGGTTAAGTAGCTTATATAACAAAAAAAGTTGCACATGTATATCAAATTAGAGGGTGCTATACGTTAGACTAAATAATTACCTAAAACTTATCATAATAAACAGCAAATTTTATTTGACTACTGAATATTTTTTAAATTTTAATTTATTTTAAAAATCTTGCTAGAGGGTGTATGTACTCTCCAGAGTGAGGGAGAAAAGAAAACTGAGAGAGCACTCTCCATGAAGAGATAAATGTGGTGCAATTCCTTCTCCTTTCGGGATTTTGGCCATGCATGCATGCACACACATGTGCCTGGCATGTTTCTCAAGCTGCTGGATCCAAGACTCGAACTGTGCAGTTGGTCATGTGGGATCCAGCCATTTTAACCACCAAGCCACTGGCTGACTCATCACTGAATTTTTTTTTTTAGAGGTTTTTGACTTACGATGTGTGTGCTTGCTGGAAAGAGACAAAGACAGAGGGAAAGTGAGAAATCAACCCCCAAGGGGGGATGACCATGCTGCAATCCCTTCTCCATCCTCTTCTTGGGATCTCGGCCATGCACACACAGGCGCCTGGTGTGACTTTCAAGTCACTGGGTCTGGGATTCAAATCATGGTTGGCTATGTGGGAGTTCAGTGACATAACCACTATGCCATCTGCTAGCTCCTTGCCACTCAATTTTATCAAACAAACCAATGAAACAACCCTGAAGTGAGATAATTTTGCTCTACACCAATCTAAAGTACCTCAACGATTTAATGGAGTTTGTCATCCATGGAGCCTGAATTCAGGAAGATAAAAATCACATTAGTCAGAAACAAATTTGGGCAGCAAGAAAATAAACAGATATGAGGTCAATAGACTAGAAAATCTGTTCCTACTGTTTGGAGAACTCTTTGGAGGTACTGAGGCTTAATTTGACCAATCTGTGTACAGACACTTATGAACTCATTATAGGATCTAAAATAAGACAGAAACACTCAAACCCTTTCATACTCATAAATGTGAGCAAATTACCTGATTGTTGTGGTAGACGTGTCTTTGCCTACTAAAAAGTGGTGTTTGCCCTCTCTGATTTGCTGAGCCCATGTAGGATGAAACCACACTACATGAGAAAAATGGCCAGCATACACTGCAGGCATAATCCAATTTTCAATACTTAATTCTCTGGAAAAGAAACAAAGATACATTAAAATTGTCTTTTTTTCGAACAAAATTTCATCCAAAACAGTATATTAAGATAGCCTGTTTTGGGGCCAGCAGGTGGCATGGTGCTTGGGGCACTGAACTCCTAAATGGCCAATCCTGGTTCAAGTCCTGGACCTGACAGCTTGCTTTCTCATTGTCCCTTTCTCTGTTGTCTCTCTCTGATCAAATTGAAGAATAACAATAAATAAATTAAATTAAAAAATCTTAAAAAAAAAAGGTAGTCTGTTTTAAAATGATCTGTTGAGAGTCTCCCAAGATCTTTTTAGGGTGGCTGCTAGGTGGGGACTATTTTCATAAAAACACTAGCATATTTCTTTTTCCCACTGTAATAACATTCTCTCACTGATGGTGAGAGTTGGTTAAAAGCAACAGTGGGTTAATGTCTGAAATTAATCAAGGCAGTGCTTCTAAACTCTGACATTATATTCTTGACTATTAAGCAAAAAAAAAAAAAAGCCAGTTTCATTTAGGAAACCTTGATTTTATATATGTTGTGTGGCAAAATGAGAAGTACACAGGAAGTACTTCTGAGACACAATAGCTGTCTCAAGGAACAGCTCTTGTGACCGAATTGTGAACTTTTTTTTTTTTTGCCTTTTTTTTCCTTTAAAAAATTAAAAAAAAAAAAAAAACATGCCACATGGCATATAAATTCTCTGGAGGGACTGGCTACAGGGGGAGAGAGAAACCAACTCCCATGGGGATGGTCACACTACAGTCCCTTCTCCATTTCTCCCTCCTTTCAGGATTTTGGGCATGGATGCACATACATCTGCCATGTTTTTCGAGTTGCTGGGTTCAGGTCTTGAACTATGAAGCTAGTCATGTGAGACCCAGTCACCTTAACTACCATGCCACTGGCTGGCCCTGAGCACTTTTTTCTTTTCTTTTTTTTTTTTTTTTAAAAAAAAACTATCATTAATAACTATCAGCATTAAGACTTAAAAGTGAATTGTTAGAGTCCACATTTCAACTAAGCTTTAAGAATCTACCACTTGTAGGGAACCAGCAGTTAGCGTAATGGCTATGTCACTGGACTCCCACATAGTCGACCGCGGTTCGCGTCCTGGACCCGGTGGCTTAAAACTCACGCCAGGCGCGTGTGCGTGTGTGCCCAAGATCCCAAGAGGAGAATGGAGGAGAAGGGATTGTGGTGATCCTCCCCCCTGGGGGGTGATTTCTCGCTTTCTGTCTCTATGTCTCTCTCTGTCTGTCTGGCGAGCGCACGTGCCCTATAGCGAAAACCTCTCCAAAAAAAAAGAATCTACCACTTGTCAAGTTTTAATGTACTATCAAAGAATATTCACAGTTATCAGAAAAGGTTATGAAAATGCTCTTTTCCTTTTTCAATTACATGTCTGTGAGAATCTGAATTTTTATTCAAATACTTCAACCAAAACATAATATAGAAACATACTAAATATAGAAGCAGATTTATGAGAATTCAACTGTCTTCGATATATAAAGGCAACTAAAAAATTCTTATTCTTTAACAATGTAGTAATTGTACATTATTGTGGGGGTACAAGATGACTTTGCAGTCCACATAAACACAATGTGTAATTAATTCATTCAGGATAATTAGCATACCCATCATTTCAACCATTTTTCATGGCTTGTATTGAGAACATTCAAAATTTCCCCTTTTAGTTACACTGAAATATGTAGCAAATTATTGTCATCTATATTTTCCCCACTGTACCTGTTAACACTCGACATTAGCATCCTTGTATTCCCACCTTTACCCCCATCCTTCCCAGCCTCTAGCAGACATTTTTGATCCCTCTATCTCAATGAGCCTTTCTTTTTAATTTCCACATATGAGAGAGAACAACTGGTATTTTTTCTTTTTAACCTTTCTGTGTTTGGCTTAAAAAGGGAAATATTAAACAAACTTGCAAAAATTTACACAAAGCTACTCTCACTAATTTGTTTCTTTTGGTAAATATACATACTGGATCATTGGTAAAGTCATGATGCATTTTTGCATAGGAAAACATAGAAAAATACCTCATAACTTTACTGACGCCCTATATATACATGCATTTTATGTATGTGTATGTGTGTGTGTTTGTGTGTGTGTGTGTATATATATGTGTGTGTATATATATATATATATTTTTTTTTTTTTTTTTTTTTTTTTTTTTTTTAGGGGGGGTGTGTCTGTTTTTTTTTTGCTATAGGGTGTGTGCACTTGCCAAAGAAAGATGAGGAGAGAGGGAGGGAGAGAGAGAGAGAGAGAGAGAGAAAGTTTGAAATCATCCTCCTTCACGGTGGATAGCCATGCCACAAACCCTTTTCCTCCATTCTCTTCTTGGGATTTTAGGCATGCACACATGCCTGGCATGGCTTTCAAGCTTCCGGGTCCAGAACTGAAACACAGAGTCAGCCAAGTGGGATCTAGCACCTGAACCTCCATGCCATTTGCTGGCCTGGGAAATATACTTACAAAAATAATGAAGTAATAAAATATTGTTCTGTCATTTGTTTACAATGTCTGTGATCATTCTCACATTACAAGGGCAGAGATTAATAGTTGTACCATGCACTATAAAACCTAAATCTAAAATTTTACCATCTGGCTCTTTAAGAAAATATTTGACAATACTTGTTCTAAATGAAATAAAAAAGACAACCAAAACCCAAACAAAACCCTCATGCTTAGCCAAGTCTGTATCCCCCAATTAACTATTACCTACTGCCAACTGTATTTCAAACGCATAAAAGATCATTAACAAAAATCACACGTTACCCAAAGAGTGTTTCCTTTTCAAACACGGTGTCTGCTGGCATATTCACAGGAATGAGGAGGTCTGGATGTGAATCGAAATGTAAAAAATGTATGTTACTGGCAGGAAGATGCTTGGAGCCTATGGCCCGGTATATAAAAGGAAGAACCTGCAAAAGGCAAATGTACACTTTCAGAATTGGCACTGAAATTAGGAGCACACAATCAACTGCACATTTGAAGTACACCAAATTGTTAAAAAGTGGGATAACATAACATTTATTTATTATAGACGGTGCAGATAAAGATCTCAAGTTTTATTTTCTTCTTTAGAGCTTCCACCTTGCACTTCTGGCTGCCCTTCTGCCTCCTTGTCAAATTCCATAGGCAATATGGGGAAACAAACCAGGACTTGCTCAGGAACAATCTGCTAACATTAGTTATCAGCAGGGTCTTTTGGCCCCTTTAGCTTGGTGGCACTGGGCTAGGTGATTTGAAAGGTTCTTTCTTCTCTTATCTCCTCTGTACTCTAGCTTTAATACTACATTTGAAAGTACGTGTAACCCAGTCTCTCTCTCTCTCTCAGGTTTAACACTGAGTTTGAAAGTATGCCTAACCCTTTCTCTCTCTCTCTCTCTCTGACAATATGTCTAAGTCTTGAGAAAACCAACTTTCTTCTGAACTTTCTTCATCAGTAAAAGTCTCTTCTCTTACACTCAGGAAACCCCAAGGCCTATTAATGCTATATATCTTTTATTTTTTTCTTTTTCCAATTTTATATCCATGGGATCCCTTTACTGGCTTACCAGAAATCTAAGTTAAGGCACTAACTTAAATACTGTTAAGTAGCACAGCCTTAAAACGGAAACATCTTTCCATCTTAGCAATGTTTATAAATGCAAGGCACTGTATTAAAAGATTCGTGTGCACAAGTACACAATACTCCTGATGGGCCTGAACACTACGATTTCTTCTCCACTTCCCAGAAGAAAGCCCACGTTCTTGGCATAGTCTCCCGCCTAAACAGCAGGGCTGTGATGAGATGCCAGGAGACATGTGGAAACCAGCGTTAATTAATTCGCGTAGTTTTGTTTAAATTGCCTGGTTCGAATTCAGACTCCAGCAGTTGTCGGCTTTGGGATACGGGGCTAACGAGTTAATCAGGTGCTCGATGGAAAGTAAGGCCCCATAAAAGTCAGCTCTTGTTTGGCGTTTTGATATTCTGCCTCACGGCAACGCAACTCGGGCGGGTACTTTCTGGTTATCGCTCTGTCCTCGGATGGATGCTAAGAGTTCGCCGTCTCCTCGGCCCACGAGCGCCAGAGCTCCCGCCACTCGGCCCCAGCGCCCTACTGTCGCCAGCTCACCTCCTGGTGATCCTCCACCACCCACACCGGGAGCTCCGGGTAGCGACGGAGGCGAGCGCTCTCTCCCGCGGAGTCACTCATGTTTCGCGCCTGTCAGCGTCCCAGAGAGTCGAGGCAGCGAGATGGTACCCGGGACTTGGTCCACTACCCCGCCGCCCTCTCCGGGCGGAAACGCGCGCTCACCCGGTTGCGCTTCCGGATTGGAGGACGTGGAGGGCGGAGGGCGGGCGCCGAGGGCCCCACACCAACGATTGGCCTAGACGGCCCTCGCTCTCGTTGACGCCCCAATCAGCGCACACGAGGCTCTGCGGCGTTCCGAAGCCTTTTTCCCTCCCTTGGCCCAGCTTTCCAAGGTTTGCTTTTTAATTCCCTCGGTTTCCTGTTCCGGAGGCGCGGGTGGCGCCACGGTCTTGGCGGCTGCGGTCTTAGTCTGCCTTTGCTCTGACGGCGAGCTCGTGGCCGGAGAACCTTTAGTAGGTACTGGGAGGAAGGAGTCTTTCCGAGGGTCCGGGTTGAAATGGGGTCCGCAGCTAGGTTGAAAGGTGCCTGGGAGTTGGGGTCAGGCAGCCCCTCTTCAGTTCTGCGGCTAAGGGCAAGAGGGCGACCCTAGGCCTGGGTTCTGCAAATAAAGAGAAGTGAAAAAGGAAGACCTTTCATTCATTTGTGGGGAGCACAGTGTGATGCAGGCCCGGGGGCTCCCTTGGTCTACGAGAGGAGTGAGCCCAGAGCCGATAGCCCGGCACTTGTCTGGAGGGGCTCACAAGGAAGGCGGGAGATGCAAACAGGCAGACACGCAAGTAAGGCTCCGGATGGAGGTGACCGACATGGGATTCAGCTCAGGAAAGAGGGAATTCTCAGTAAAAATGTGGCCACTCTTTGCAACTCCTTATGCTGACTGATGTTCCTGATGTTAACTACGCAAATCCGCGCCATCAGTTTCCCGTGTCTAAGACACAGCCACCTTAGAGGAGGCAGGTGCAGAAAACAATTATTTTCTAGTCAGAGTGAATTCCTTGACTTTTGAATTAAAATTTGCATCCAAAACGCAGCCTGACAATTCCTTTAATGCCAGCTTCGCACTCAGTATTTCTAGGTTTCTATAGAAACATGTATGAATGTCGAGTAGTGTACTGTTAGAACAGTACAACACTGTAGAATAATGTTTGTAACCGGGACTGGTTCAGCACATTCTTTTATGTTCTTCTAGAGGTCACATACTTCTTTTCTTGTGTTTATAGGTTATATTGTGTCTTTAAAAAACTCATTTGTGTGTGAATTCTGAGTTCCTTAAGTCCTGCATGGTATGTGTGTTATTCATCTTTGTGTCTGCAGGGCCTAGGACACCGCTTCACAGGTACAGGCTTATTGAATATTGCATGACTCGGTGACAAGGTCTGTTTTCCATGGGGTTTGATCATGCAAATCTGTCCTGAGTATTCTTGAAAGGGAACTGTGCAGTAGCAACATAGGAACATATACCATTGGTGGAACAGTAAACATTTACGGACTATTACTGTGTGCAGGATACTCTGCCAGGGGCTGTGCTGGAAACAGACATGACTGAATCAACCCATGTAGCCGAGGAGCTAATCTGGTGGAGGAGTTAGACATGGGCACACCTGACTGCAATTTGAGGCAATCTCTGGTAAGTACAGACTAAGAGTAGTGGAGTGGACGTCTAGAGGGATTGAGATGCGTTTTTTTTGTTTTTTTGTTTTTTTTGGAGAGGTTACAGGGCGCATGTTATAGGGTGCGTGCGCTCGCCAGAGAGACAGAGAGATAGAAAGTGAGAAATCACCCCCCCAGGGGAGATGGCCACACCACAATCCCTTCTCCATTCTCCTCTCGGGATCTTGGGCACACACGCACACATGCCTGGCGTGAGTTTAAGCCACCAGGTCTGGGACTCAAACTGTGGTCAGCTACATGGGAGTTCAGCGACATAGCCATTACGCCAACTGCTGGTCCCTGAGATTACTTTCTAAAGGGAATTAGGAATGGCTTCATAGAGGTAATGGCATTTGAGTTTGGTAGACGGATTGAAATTCAAGCAAATTTATAGAGTGGACGATTTTAGAGCGAATAGGAATAAAGAACAAGCCAAGAGATTGTACTTGGTAATCAGCTGGGAGAATCTGGGGTTATAGGGCTTTTGTGGGAAAGTTAATGGGGGATGAGCCTAAAAGGAGATGTTCAATCCAGATGTTGCAGGGTTTTAAATGCCAGGTATGGAGTTTGAACTTGATTCTGTTGGCAGAAGTAGCCTGGTGATTGGTACAGCTAAATAATCAAATTATTTTTATGAACTACTTGAAAGTCTATCTTAAGTCTACTGGTGAATTTTTTTTCTTAGTATTTTTGTATTTTAAAAATTGTTTTGCTATAGGGTGTGTGTGCTTGCCAGAGAGACAGTGAAAGAGGCAGAAAGAGTGAGAGAGAGAGAGAGGGGGACGAATCAAACCCCCAGGGGGCGGCCATACCGTATTTTCTTCTCCATTCTCCACTCAGGATTTTGGGCACACATGTCCATACACCTAGTGTGTTCTCAAGCCACAGGGTCTGGGTCTCATACTGTTTAGTCAGCCATGTGGGATCCAGCTGCCTCAACCACCATGCTACTGGCTGGCCTCTATTGGTGAACTTTTAGTTAGACTTTAGGAAGATGTTTCTATATTGAAGCTTTCTGCGTTTAATATTTACTTGAGTATTTTTTTTTTTTAACATCTTGAGAAATTTAAGTGTTTAGGAAGTCATTCATGCTCATCCTTTTTCTGTGGAAAGAACTGAGAATAAAAATTAAGAATGATAACTATTGTGTAATATTATAGCTATATTTGAATTCTTTTTTAAAAATTATTTTATTTAACTTTATTTATTCATTTGTTTATTTCAATTTGACCCAAGAGAGACAGAGAAAGAGAAAGTGAGAAAGCAAGCCTCCAGGTCCGGGACTCGAACTATGGTCGGCCTTGTGGGAATCCCGCAGCTTTAACCACCACGCCACCTGCTGGCCTGCTATATTTGAATTCTAATGCTGGTGTTGCTGTGATTTTTTTGGTGTTTGATCTATGCCTAGACAATTTATGATGAAAGAAACTAGAGTATCAAGAGAGGAAATGACCATTTTCTCCCATTCTTTCAGCAAATTAGAGATGAGCTGTACCTACATTTTCAGTCTTTTTCACTGCTGATAGTTTTGAGTTAGCATGACAAGTGGTAAGGATATCTTAATGCAGTTCACTGTGCTCCAGATTTTGTTAGTACGCTAAGTACATTGGAGAGTGCAAAATCATTGTATTGAAGAAATACTTCAGGGACTAGTAGTTAGCGTAACGGTTATGTCGCTGAATTCCCATGTAGTCGACCATAGTTCGCGTCCCGGACCCAGTGGCTTAAAACTCACGTGAGGCGCGTGTGCATGTGTGGCCAACATCTCGAGAGGAGAATGGAGGAGAAGGGATTGTGGTGTGGCCATCCTCCCTGGGAAGTGATTTCTCTCTTTCTGTCTCTCTGTTTCTCTCTGTCTGTCTGGCAAGTGCACATGCCCTATAGCAAAAAAAAAATAAAAAACTTCACAGTATTAGCACTTTATAAAACATGTTTATTTCCTTCTCTCCTTTAGAGCTCATGTTCTCTGTGGAAGATGTGACATATCCAGGCAGTACATCATGATGCAGGGCAGTACCTGGTGAGTGGAGTGGTGAGAACGGCTGTGGTTTGGGAAGACAGAGAGAGGAGCAGATGCTGATGCTGGGCCATGAGGAGCAAAGGGTTTATATATGTGGGGAGAAGGGGAGATGTGCTCAGTTGTGGGCACAGCACATCACAGCAGAGGGCCACGTGCAGGCCCCGGGACCCAGAGCAGAACAGTTAAGGAAACATCAGGACCCTGCTGTGATTAAGCTGGAAGTTCCAAGGTGCAGGTAGACACGAAAGGTGGAATTATGTAATTTGGTGGGAGACTGTAATTATTGCAGGACCTGCTAAGAAGCAGCACGGGGTATTGGGAGAGCAGGGAATCTTGGGTGTTAGTAGTGGTTTTGGAAAGGCCATAAGGATATTATTGTAGTAGCCAGGCAAGAGACGATAATGTGAAATGGATAAATTCAGGAAGTATTTATGAAGCAGAAATGACAGGAAGTTTTGTTTGTTTTTTAAAAATTTTCGATTAAGGTATAGAATTTTTTTAAAAAAGTTTATTTATTTCTTCCATAAGTGAAGAAGGCAGAGAGAGAGAGAAAGCATCCCTGACAGGGTATTGATATTGCCATCCATCCCCAGCCATAGCCAGTCCTGCTTCATGAGCTCATGCCTGATGTGTTCAGGGAGGTCTCCAGACGTGAACCTGGATCCTTCCCATGTGGGTTACAGAGCTTTGTATCTACTGCTGTGCCACTATCCAGCCCTGATGGGAATTTTAAAATAAATTTTTAGTGAAGAGAATAAGGGAGGAAAAGCTGTTAGATGATTCTATGGTGTATGTCTTGAGGACCAATAAATAGTATCATTTATAGATTGAGAAAGGAGCAAATGCTAAAAGGAGATCATGCCTTTTAGGATATATTTTGTTCAATTTGCAGAGTCAAAGAGACATTCAAGGAGAGAGGTCAGGTTGGCAGTTGGTAATATGGGTGTGGAGCTCAGAAGTTGGAGGCTAGAGGTGTAGCTGGGTGTTACCAACAGATGGGTAGGAACTGAAGCGATGCAAGTAAAGAGGGTCACCTTGGAAGAGAGCAGAGTGCTCAGACTGGTCTCGTAAGTGCTCCTTGGGACCCATAAGGAGTAGCAAATCATCAAAGGGCCCACAGAGGAGGACCTGGCACAGGAGCCTGCCAGGAGGAAAGCCATCAGGGGGAGGATACTGTGAGTGTGTTGGGTCAGGAAGCTAAGGAAGGAACCCATGAGGAAAGCAGTTGGATTGAAGGCTGCACAGAGATGTCAGGTTTTCCAAACAAGCTGAGCACTGGTCATTTCGCTCATTGGAGTGATTGCAGAAGCGAAAGTCAGATTCGCGCTGCTATAGCAAGTACTATAGGCTAGGTGGCTTAATCAAGAAAAATGTATTGGTGGGGCCAAATGTTCTTGGTGGGGCCTCTGGAAATTATTGTATGTTGCAATAGACCTGGGCACTTTCAAATGCCGATGTGATAAGTCTGTGGCGGGGACAGGTGGAGGCTCACAGAGGGAGGGTAATAATCCCAAATAAATGTTGGGTGATGGGACACAGAGCCCGTGAGGCAGGATAGGCTTCGTTAGGAGGAAGGAATTGTGAGGATGTAGTTGGACACAGATAGGTGTATTGAATTGGTAGAACAAGTTGATGGGATGGTTTTTCGTTTGTTGCTGTTTAGTAGGAGAGAAGGTTATCCACTGACCTTGACGAGGGAATGGACTATTGAGAAGGATGTTGAAGTTTGTGATAGTTATGGTGGATAGTTAGGAGAGTAATGTGGCTGTGGAAGCACGTCGGGATGGCTTGGCAGCGACCAGTGACCACGAATTTACATGGGCACCAGCTTGCCTAGTTAGGTGTTTTTCTCAGAGGCTTCTGGTTGGCCTAAAGAAAATGAATTGTTGGGTTCTTCTACAGTTGGCATGTTATGATGTTCCTGTGACTGGCGGAGAGTGGGCTAGAGGAGTTTAGGGTTTTAAAAAGGAGTCACTGAGATGGTGGGTCATGAGGAAAGTGGAGGGAGGTGAAGGTAGGAAGATGTTGGTGCCAGTGTTGAAAACATGGGGGAACCAGCAGTTAGCGTAATGGCTATGTTGCTGGACTCCCACGTAGTTGACCGTGGTTCGCGTCCCAGACCCGGTGGCTTAAAACTCATGCCAGGTGCATGTGTGTGCGTGCCCAAGATCCCGAGAGGAGAATGGAGGAGAAGGGATTGTGGTGTGACCATCCCCCCTGGGGGGTGATTTCTCGCTTTCTGTCTCTATGTCTCTCTCTGTCTGTCTAGGGAGCGCACGCACCCTATAGCGAAAACCTCTCCAAAAAAAAAAAAAAAAAAAAAAAAAAAAAAGGGGAGGGGGGGGGGGGGGGGGGGGGGGGCCCGCGACCCTCTGAGAAAACCCCCCCAAAAAAAAAAAAAAAAAAAAGAAAGAAAACATGGGAAGAGTGGATGGGGTGGCATGGTGGGGCCAAGGTCATAGGTGGCATGGTGAGGCCAAGGTCACAGGTGAACTTGAGCAATGACATGACAGCAACTGGTTGGATGGTGGGATCTTAAATTTGTCATTCTGGAGGTGGAGCAGCTTTACGGAGTGATGAGGTCTAGGGACTGACCATGGTAGTGAGTGGGTGACCAGATAGGAAGAGAAGTTTATTGGCCTGAAGAGTTTCAGATATCGGAATCCAGTATTAGAGGGGCAGGATATTTCACTGACCTAAGGGATCAGTCATCACTCATCGAGATGGTCAGGCACATATGAAACCCTGTTTACATAGTGAGGTTATTTTCTTTTTTTAACTTTTTCTTTTTCCAACAAAGCCATAGAATGTCGTTCCACCCAGGACGAGGCTGTCCCCGAGGACGAGGAGGACATGGAGCCAGACCCTCAGCCCCAGCCTTCAGGCCCCAAAATCTGAGACTTCTTCATCCTCAGCAGCCTCCTGTGCAATATCAATACGAGCCTCCAAGTGCCCCTTCCACCACGTTCTCGAACTCTCCAGCCCCCAATTTTCTGCCTCCACGACCAGACTTTGTCCCTTTCCCTCCACCCATGCCTCCATCAGCACAAGGCCCTCTTCCCCCCTGCCCAATCCGGCCCCCTTTCCCCAACCACCAGATGAGGCACCCCTTTCCGGTGCCTCCCTGTTTTCCTCCCATGCCACCTCCAATGCCCTGTCCCAACAACCCCCCAGTCCCTGGAACGCCTCCTGGACAAGGCAGTTTCCCCTTCATGATGCCCCCTCCCTCTGTGCCCCATCCTCCACCCCCTCCAGTCATGCCACAGCAGGTTAATTATCAGTACCCTCCGGGATACTCACACCACAATTTCCCACCTCCCAGTTTTAATAGTTTCCAGAACAGCCCCAGTTCTTTCCCACCCAGTGCTAGTAACAGCAGTAGCCCTCACTTTAGGCACCTTGCTCCTTACCCGCTCCCAAAGGCTACCAGTGAGAGAAGGTCTCCAGAAAGGCTCAAACATTATGACGATCACAGGCACCGAGATCACAGTCATGGGCGAGGCGAGAAGCGCCGGTCCTTGGATCGGCGGGAGCGAGGTCGCAGTCCCAACAGGAGAAGGCAAGACAGTCGCTACAGATCCGATTACGAACGTGGGAGAACGCCCTCTCGCCACCGCAGCTATGAGCGGAGCAGGTAACCAGGGGCGTGAGGTGTGTTGTGCTCTCTAATGAACTGTGGAGGCCCAGATGTTCAATTTCCATGTATTAGCAAACTGAAAGGGATGAACAGTGCATTTTGATTTAGGAAAGTAAATGGACTTTTGTGTTGGACTCTACTTTCAAGAGGAGGAGACAAGTGATAAGTTGAAAGCTGCTTTTGAAAACTATTCTAAATTATCAATGTAGTCTTCATAATGAATATAAGCTTTTTAGTCTGCTTAATACAGTTGAAATAATGATGATCCCATCATCAAATAAAAGACATGAAAGTCTGTTTTTTGTGTTAAGAGAGATTTAATTATGTTCATGTGATCATTTTACCAGGTTATATACCGTGTGAGTGCTTTTGGAATTGGTAATCTGCATATATTATCAAACAAGAATCAGTTAACTAGTTCACACACAGAGATTGGATTCTGATTTTTAAGCTAAGTGGACATTTATTATACATTTTTGCTCTCTTGTTTCTTTGTAAAATGAAACATGTTATCTTTTTTTACACATTATATTTTTTTGTTCAAAGTTAATAGTTTCCAAATAGCTCTTATCCTGATTTTGTTGGGTTGAAATGTGCTCAGACTGAAGAAAGTATATTTGAAAAATACCATTAGATTATTTTTCAAAAGACCAAGTGTCTGGAAGTACAAGAGAAACACGGTTTAGAGCAGATGTTCTTCAGAGTAGCATTCTACATTGGCTTTTAGAAGTGCTCTGAAGGTATAAGAAAGCTTGTGGCAGATTTGCAAAGAGGTGGGTGTGTCTGTTACTCTAAAAGGCTAAGAAACATTGGTCCACATGGAGAAATAAAAGGATACATGAGATTGCACTAACACTTACAATGTGCCTTCCGTGAACTCGTGAACTCGATGAAGATTTGAGGGTTTGCAGTTGGCAAGTTGCAATTGGCAAGTTGTGTTTATCTTCATTATCTTTTGTAACCTTTGTGCCAACAGTGTTTGAATCCTCAAACCAGGTCACTTCATCCCATGGCTTTGTAAAAAGCTGGTCTGAGCTCCTATTGTTTCTCCACAGCTGCTTATAGGAATCAGTTCACATCTTTGCTTCCACGTTTTTTGTCATGGCTCTTTTGATTTAATTCTGAATGAGCATTTTTTTGAGTAAATGATAGTGGTCATTCTCTGCCCTGAAGTGAGCGAGTGGTGCTTGGAATGCTCAGAAGGTAAATGTGTCATTGTCTCCCTGTAAGCCCAGCAGAAGACAGGGGACCATGTTTCTTTGTAGAGATGGCTGATTCTGGTGGGCCAAAGCCTAATGAGTCAGTAGACTCTTTAAGATCTTTTTCAGCATGAACTACAGTTTCTGGTCAATATTGTTCTTAGTTTTTCTGTGTTGGACTAGTTGGCAGAGACCTATGATAGATTTTTTTTTTTGTAATTGTATAGTAAAAATCTAAACTGGAAAGAGTTTATAAATAGTTCTGTTCAGACTTCAAAGAGATTGTTAATTTTATCTCTGGGAAAACATTTTGCTGCAAATGTGCATTGCTAGTTGTATATTTCCTCCCCTCCATTCGAGGATGTTGTAACTGGAGAAGTTGTCAGGGCTCTGCTATGAATCCTAAAGCATTCCATGGAGGCTTACTGCATTTGTTTGAAGAACTCAGATGTCTTATAAACTGAAGCTCTCTCAATAAGTGAAATCAGGTGCAGAAGGAATTACCTTTGCTCTCTATTGTCTTAAACCACACTCCCTAAGCCTTTCTAAAATAGTCTTTATTTATATTGGAGTGGTTTTACAATGAGCTTGGGGGCCTTTGTCCTGCAGATGCCATAGTGGCACAGCTACATTATAATTGTCTCCCTTTGTGGAATTAAGTATCAGTCATTTGTCTTGATGTAGAATGCTTCTGTGAAACAAAGACAGGCACCTGAAGTCCTGATACAACTTCTAGAAGTATATTTGTAAGTTAGACTGGGTTTAGTGTACTTGCTGACTACTACTTCTTTGGCTTCTTAGGGTGAGTGAACCTGTCCTTTCACAAATTTCATCTACCTTCTTCTTTCTCCTCTACAGTGTGATTGAATAACAATGAAATGATTGTTTTAGAACAGACTGTTCTAGAAAAGGTTTGTGAAAACGTGTGCATTTGTGTTTGTTATGAGGGAAGATCAAGGTGACTCCAGGGAATGGGAGAAGCAGCAGCCGCAGATGCAGCACCACAGCGCGGTGCCTTGGTGTCTTGCAGCAGTGGTAAGGATGTGGCAGTGGACTTTGCCTCGCGGAGTAGCACGGCCACAGGGTAATGCCTGTGGCTGTCCTTGTGATGGTAGAATAGGTAGTCATCAGCCTAGCTAGCACTCTGTATCTAAGGAATATTTTAGTACTTGCAAAGGGGGAGTAATCTTATGAATAGTAACATACACACACAAAACCATAGTTTTTTTGCTTTAAATGGTTTCATCTTATTTGTTACTAATGTGATTTTATATCCAAATTGGTCTTTTTAATTTCTACCCACATAGTGGTAACAATCATCATCAGAAGTGTTATTTTTTAAAGTTTATTTTTTTATTCTAAAAGAGAGAGAGAGAGAGACTGATCACCCTCCAACAGGGTCTTCATGCCATAAGCCACCCCCAGTGTCAGCCAGCCAGTCAGCACCACGAGGGCATCCAGGAAGACCCTGGAATGTGAACCCTGGACCTTCCCATGTAGGTCTTGCTGCATTACTACTATGCTGGCCCCAGAGTGTTATTCTTAAATGCAAAATTCTCTTGGCTAGATATTAGGAAACAAACAAAAAAAAAAATAGAAAAATCCTCTAATTAGAGTTTTTATTTGGAAATATAGGCAGTTATTTTTTTGAGTGGCTGTGCCATATTACATATTACATATCTTTGACATGTTTCACTATTGAATAATTTCTATAATTGCGAGACCAGCAGATGGCATAATGGCTACATTGCTGGATTCCCATGTAGTCGACCACAGTTCTAGTCCTGGACCCGGTGGCTTAAAGTCAAGACACATGTGTGTGCACACCCAAGATCCTAAGAGGATAATGGAGAAGGGATTGCAGTGTGGCCATTCCCCTGGGGATGATTTCTCACTCTCTGTTTCTCTCTTTCTGGCGAGTGCATGCGCCCTATAGCAAAAACTTCTCCAAAAATTTTTTTCTATAATTAGAATTTACTGCCTAAGTGTAACTTAACGATTTCAGAAATATATCAAATGAAGATTGTAAAATACTGGGAACCAGCAGTTAGCGTAATGGCTATGTCGCTGGACTCCCACGTAGTCGACCGCGGTTCGTGTCCCGGACCCGGTGGCTTAAAACTCACGCCGGGCGCGTGTGCGTGCGTGCCCAAGATCCCGAGAGGAGAATGGAGGAGAAGGGATTGCGGCGTGACCATCCCCCCTGGGGGGTGATTTCTCGCTTTCTGTCTCTATGTCTGTCTGTATGGCGAGCGCACGCGCCCTACAGTGAAAATCTCTCAAAAAAAAAAAAAAAAAGAATGTAAAATACTAAGCTCTGGTTGCTTTATTTTGAACAGCTGGTGTATACCTGAGGCTTGTGTATGTGTCAAAAGCATATCATCCAAAGGAATCTTTCTTGGGAATAGGAGAACTTTTAAGTAAAAAAGAAAAAAAAAAAAGTTTTGTTCTGACCCAGTAGCACAGGGGTTAAGTGCTGTGCATATGGAGCTGGACTCCATATGGCCGACTATAGTTTGAGTCTCATCCCTAATGGCTTGGGGAAACATGCCAGGTATGTGTGCTTGTGTGATTAAAAGCCTGATCGTATGGAGAAATGGAGGAGAGGATTTTTGTGCGACTGTGTCCCATTCGGGGGTGCTTTCTCTTTCTCTTATAAGCACATACATACTCTTGTAATAAAAAAGCATAACACAACTCAAATCTTTTGTCTTAATATTGAAGCAGTGACTAATCTCTCGGTTTTTTAAGTTCTAATTTTTAGCGAATTAACATTTCTTCTAATTGGCTATAGGTTGGGCATATTTTTGAGTTCAGATATCTTTATGTTCTTGCTGGACCTAGCATACTTCCCCACCCCTGCCTTTCTAAGACTAGGTAGTTATTTCCCTTAGATTTGTAGTTTTGACTTAAACATACTAGAGTTCAGATGTTTGTTCCAGATCTTCATTGTATATATTAAATAGAGTCAGCAGTTATTAGTATTTTAATTTTGTTTTTGGAAGATTTTTAAAATCCTTCATTTTATTTTTACATTGGATAAACCCAGTGTCTCCATTTAGAGTATTTTCCACATGAAAATAGCATTAAAGTGACTTAGTCATGGTCTCAGGACAGAGTAGTGATAGCTAAAATGCAACTCAGGCCTACATCCCACCCATAAGCATTCAGAGTCCTTTCATTGTAGAACCTTGTACTAATCTTTACTTATAAAAACTATAATCTACATTTATTTGATGGGTGAAACTGAGAGTTTTTAAGAAGTCGATAGGCAGTAGAATCCTTTAAGGTTTCCCTTTAAGTTAAATAACCAAAGACTGACTGAGTAGAAGGTCTTGAGAGATTATGATAAAATTCCCTTTATTGCTTAGCATCAGGTACAAGTTCTTTCTTTAAAGAAAAGAGCAAGAAAATTGTCCAAGTTTGTTAACTTCTGTAACGTGAAAAGCTCTTTCATCCTCAAAGGAGTGAAGGAGCAATAAAAATATCCCTTAGTGAATAGTGCCTGCAGAAATCTTGGATGTGGTCCGTTTAGGAGAAGATAAAAAGTCAGTGAAAAGAGATGGTGTTTTTGAGTCTTCCTGTTGAAAACAGCTCTGTGTCTTCATTCCTTTAAGAGAGCGGGAACGGGAGAGACACAGGCATCGAGACAACCGAAGATCACCCTCTCTGGAAAGGTCCTACAAAAAAGAGTATAAGAGATCTGGAAGGTAAGCACTGGGTGGATGCTGCAAGAAGTCATAGGATTGTCTCCTTGAATTCAGATTTTTGTGCTTCTGTAGAATGTCAGCAAGTCTTTATGAGAACTTCAGAGTCTACGATTACCTGCGAAAGGGTAAAGTGGCCCATAACCTGAAAGCATTTTACTTTCAAGATTATGCATGAAGAAATTATTGATAAACTTTCCAAAAATCGGAAATGTTATAGGTCAGTTTAACCGCAGCATTATAAATCTATACATTAATAATTCAAGTAATTTTTTAAAGAATGGAAATTTATAATTATGCTCTTAAATTACTGATTTTAGAAAATAAAAGGAAAACTCTAGTTACACTTTCTTCAGAAAAATGATACTGAGATTGTTGTAATCCCAAACTTAGAGGGTATAACTAGTTCTATATGCAGCAGTAAAATTTGTGGTCTTATTTAATGGTAAGCAAGTAATAGTCCGGGATGGTTCCATGGCCTGGTGGTTAAAGCAGCCGGATCCCACATGGCTGACTGCGTGGTTTGAATCTTAGTGCCAGTGGCTTAAAATATATACCAGGTGTGCATGCATGCATGTCCCAGATTCTGACAGAGTGGAGAGATGGAGAAGGGATTTGTCGTGACCATGCCCCATCGGGGCTGCTTTCTTTCTCTGCCTTTCTCTCTCTGGAGAGTCTACATGCCTTCTGAAAAGACTGAAAAAGAGACGAAAGAGACCAGCAGGTGGCATGGTGGCTGAGGCACTGGATTCCCACATGGCTGACCACAGTTTGAGTCCCAGACCTGGCAGCTTGCATTCTCACTTAACCTCTCTCTCTCTCTGGTCAAAATAAAAATAAAATAAAATAAAATAAACAATTTAATAAATATTTCTTAAAAAAAGAATCTTTTTAA